GACGGGGCAGAATGCAAAGGCGCCCAGAAGCGGGCAGTGCTGAGCAGGTAGGAGGACTAGAGAGCCGACTAGCCGGTGAGTCAGGTGCACAGTGAGAGAGGAGATGGAGATAAGGCAAAGAGCTAGGCGAGGTTTGAAAACAACTTGGCCCTGTCTCTTGTAAAGGTAAATATTCACATGTTCTAAGACCCAAAAGTTTCCATCCTAGAAACCAACCCCAGAGAACTCTTGCACATGTGACCAAGAAATTAGAAAAATCATGATGTAGTCACACAATGGCTTGTCATATTGCAGTGAAAATGAATGAATGACAGCTCTACCCAATATGGATAAAACTTAGAAACATAATATTAAATGACAAAGGTGGTATGATACAGTTTCTATAAAGATTAAAACCAAGAAAAATGTATATTGTTTAGAGGTGTTCGTACGGGTAAGTAATGGAATTATTTTTTAACAAAATGAGGAAATTAAAAACACAAAATTCAAAATAGTGGTTACCCCTGAGGGGTAGCTGAGGAACAGGGCAGGGAAGGAACACACAGATAGCTACACCATGTCAATGAAGTTCCTTCTAGCCCTTAGGTTGAGTAGTGGGCTCAGCTTAAGGTGTCCATTTTATTATGATTCATGTCTATATATGTTCTATATATTCTTTTGTATGCATCAAATATCACATAATAATTTTAGAAGAGAGAAAAACATGGGCCAAGTCATGTGGGACCTTGAGGCCATGATAAGCATTTTGGATTTTATCCTAAATGCCAAGGGACAGCATTTGATGGTGACTCAGTTTGATCCACCATTCACTCAGGAGGCTGAAGAGAGAATGAATAATAGGGGGTTAAGAACAGAGGCACTTAGACAAGTAGGACACTATTGCAGTGGCTCAGGAGAAAGATGAGGATGGGACTAGGCGAGGGTGACTGTGGCTGCAGGGAGAAGTGAAGGGGTAAGAATGTATTTTGTAGGTAAAACCAAGAGGACATGTTGATGGATTAGATTGAGAGGTGGAAGGAGAAGAAGAATCAAGAATGACTTGAGGTTTTTGATTTGCACAACTGGGTGGAAAAAGGAACCATTTGCTGAATGAGATGATGAACTACAAAGAACAAACAGGTTGAGCGTGGAAGAAGGAAGTGGAAACCGAAAGAGTTTCACTTTGTGTTTGAATTCGCTATTATAGGTCATTGAGACACGTGAGTGTTTTGAGCTGGGAAATCGTGTAATTCGAGTTGCGATTTAGATGCTGACCCAGTAGCATTGTGCCGCATAGATTGGAGAGGAAGAGATGGAGCTGGTGGTTGCAGGGGTGGCAAGTTGGGACAGTGAGGAGCTAGTGGAGGGTGAGCATGGGGAAAACAACCGAGCAGAGGGAAAGGGGGAGGGGGAACAGCCCTTCTGCCCAGCAGAGATTTACAAAGCACGGTATCAGACTCTCCAGGGCACATCTGGATAAGGAAGTCTTCCAACCTAAAAGAATTTACAGATTCATAGAAGAAAGAGACACATATACAAGTAGTAATTCCATTTTTGCACAGTTCTTTACATTCTATAAAATGCTTTCAAATCCTCCACTGCATTCGAGTGTTAGAACATTCCAGTGCAGGTGTGGCAGGACTGGTCATCCCCACTCTGTGCATAGGAAGACTAAGGTGTAGAGTTTCATGCAGCCTGTTATTCAGTGAGTAAATGCAGAAGCCAAAACTGAGATGAAGGTCTTTTGATTCTGAGTCGGGCATTCCATCCATCACAGCAGAGTATGATATGTCCAATAAGAGTGTTGCTCTGGCTCAGAGGATTAGGGGAGGCCATGTGGGAGAGGCATAATGTAAGCTGCCTCAAACGATAAATAAGATTTTTACCAAGCAGAGAAGTGGAAAAAGGACGTTGCGGGTGGAGGCAATGTTAAGGGTAGGAGTTGGGTCATGGGAAAGTGAGTGGTCAAGTGACAGGTGTGAAGCATTGCTGGATGGAAAGTGGTCACGGGACCTTCTGTGCTCACCACAGGTTGGAAGCACAGTGCTCTTCCGCTGTCAAAAAGGTTACCTGCTTCAGGGCTCCACCACCAGGACCTGCCTCCCCAACCTGACCTGGAGCGGAACCCCACCCGACTGTGTCCGTGAGTGTAGACTTCACCTGCATCCCAACACAACTCCTCCTGACAACACATTATCCCCCCCCAGCTGGGCATCCGGGACATGCTTGAATGCGCTCAATGACAGGGAACTCACACTTCTCATTGGGACCAATATTAGACTCTTTGCTGTCCTCACTCCTTGGGGCCTCGCAGAAGACATTTTCTGCACAAAAGCCTTTCAGATGTTTAAAGGAAATTCCTATGCCTTAACAAAGAAAAAAGGAAGAACTTTACAGTGGCAGCAAAAACTAGCAACTACCAAAGCCAACCCTCAAGATGGAAGATTCCAGCCTTTTTGCCATAATTATTCCTCTTCTCTCAGGAAAAGTACTGCAGGCTTAGGTTCCCCCAGGGTTGATAAACCAATATGCACATGATCTCCATCTTGGCCATTCCTAGAGACATCAAAGCTGGGGTGTGGGAGGGGAGGGGAGGAGGAGATGCTGGACATGAGAGGGGCCCATAGGGGAGAGGAAGAGGAGTGGGGGTTCATCTAGGAATGAGAATGATTGAAAGGCCTTCTGGAGACCTTACTCTCCTCAGATCCAACAATGTCTTTCCTCTTATCCAGCCCACCACTGCAAACAGCCAGAGACGCCAACGCATGCCAACATCGGGGCCCTGGACTTGCCCTCCATGGGCTACACACTTATCTACTCCTGCCAGGAGGGCTTCTCCCTCAAGGGTGGCTCCGAGCATCGCACCTGCAAAGCAGATGGCAGCTGGACGGGCAAACCACCCATCTGCCTGGGTGAGTGCACCCACTTGGTGAACCTCTCCAGGGTGGGAGGCCAAAGGTGACAGCTGAGCTTGAGTGAAAGAGGGCAAGAGAGAAGGAAGAAATAGGATTTCCAGAAGCTGGATCCTGCTTCTGATTTTCTGGGGTAGTGAGTGTCTAGGAGATAAGAGCAGAACCATCTAAAGAGGCGCACTGGGAAGCCATCCCAAGTTTTACTTTGCTACCTTCTGCCTGAGCTCAAACACTCTCCCAGTATTATGCTCAATCATCAGACAGAGAAAATATTTTTGTTTCACCAAACTGGAATAACACATTTGCATATTCTAACCTTGATAAAATGACACCCACACACAGATCCCTTGGGATTACCAAGATGTCTCAGACCTCCCTCCTCCTCTTCTTAATTTATTCATTCTCTATTTATGGAGCATTATCACTCTGCATACCTGTGGTGGGTATGCGGGATTAGGAGGTAAAAGACACAATCTCTACCTTAGAGGAGCTCACATCCAGCTACAGAACACAGACACATTATCAGATATGACAGTACCTTCAGGAACATAGAAATGGGCTGAATGCAGTGGAGATGAGGTGAAAGGGCACTAATTCAGCCTAAGAGAAGTAGAGAAGTCAGGGAAGGCTTCCTGGAGAAAGTGGTCTGAGTCCAGTCTTACGTGAGGAGTCCAGCATAAAAGAATCAGTTTGGTGCTGGAATGGCATTGAACTCTTTCTTACAGGTGATGAACTCGACATATGCCAGGCATTGAACTAAGTATTTTGTGTGTAGTCACTCATTTAATCCTCATTCTATTATGAGGCAGGTACTATTCCTATCCCCATTTAATATATGAAGAAACTGAGGCACATAGAGATTTAGTAACACACCTGAGGTTACCAGCCGGGAAAGGGAAAGAAGTCAAGCCCTGAAGGTCTAACTCCAGAAACCAAGCTCTTAAGTACTTGCTGTTATGCCCCTCAGGGAGGGGAAGCTTCAAGTTCAGAGCCTTCAGCAGAGCTAAGATTTAATAACTGCCTTGTATTTTCATCATATGAATTGTTGTAAATTTCTTTTATTTATGGAAAGTAATATTTGTTTTCCACATATGGTAGTGATATAAGGTTTTGTTTTAGAGTACATTTATGTAAGTTTTATTGTGGTAAAATATCCATAATATAAAATTTACCATTTTAACTATCTTTAAGTATACAATTCAATGACATTAAGTACATTCACAATGTTGTGCAACCATCACCACTATCCATTTCCAGAATTTTTTCATCATCTCAAACAGAAGAAATTCTGTAACCATAAAACAATAATTTCTCATTTTCCTTTCCCTCCAGCCCCTAATAAGCTCTATTATATTTTCTAGCTCTATGATTTGCCTATTCTAGGTACCTCATGTTAGTGGATTCATATAATATTTGTCCTTTTGTGTCTGAATTAGTTCACTTAGCATAGTGTTTTCAAGGTCCATCCATGATATACCATGTGTCAGAATGCCATTCCTTTTTAGGCTTGAATAATATTCCATTGATGGATATACCACATTTTGTTTATCCATTTATCTATTGATGGACATTTGGGTTGTTTCCACTTTTTGGCTACTATGAATAATGCTGCTAGGAACATAAATGTGCATATTTTATATGGATATTTAATTCTCTGAGGTATATTTCTAGGAGTAGAATGACAACTCTACGTTTAACATTTTGAGAAGCTATCAAACAGTTTTGCAAAGTGCCTGTACCATTTTACATTCCCACCAGCAATGCACTAGGGTTCCAATTTCTTTACATTCTTGCCAGCACTTGTTACTGTCCAGCTTTTTGAGTATAGCCACCCTCAGTGTGTGTAAAGTACTATCTCACTGTGGTTTTGATTTACACTTCCTGAAAGGATAATGAGGTGTTTATTGGCCATTCGTATATCTTTGGAGAAATGTCTATTCAAATCCTTTGTCCATTTTTTAATTGAACTATTTCTCTTTTTATTATTGAGTTGTAAGAATTTTTTATAATCCTTTTGACTTCCTTTTTCCAGCTTTATTAATAAAATAAAATTTTAATTGATAAATAATTGTAATTGACAAATAAAATTGTAATGTATTTAAAGTTTACAACATGATAACTTGATAAACGTATATATTGTGAAAGGATTCTCATCGTCAAGGTAACACATCCATCACCTCACATATTTACCTTTTTATTTTTTTGGTGAGAACACATAAGTTCTACACTTTTAGCAAATTTTAATTATACTATGCAGTATTATCTACTATAGTTACCATGTTATACATTAGATCCTCCCACCTTATTCATCTTATAATTGAAAGTTTGTACCCTTTATTAACCTCTCTCTATTCCACCTTCCCACTAGCCCCAGGCTACTACCATTCTACTCTCTGTTTCTATGAGTTTGACTTTTTTCTTTTTAGATTCCACATATAAGTGGTACCATATAGTATTTTTCTTTCTCTGTTTGACTTATTTCACTTAGCATAGTGTCCTCCAAGTTCATCCATGTTGTTGAAAGTGTCAGGATTTCCTTTTTTTTAAGCTGAATAATATTCCACATTTTTTTATCCATTCATCCATTGACAGACACTTAGGTTATTTTCATACCTTGACTACTGTAAATAATGCTATAATGAGCATGGGAGTGCAGATATCTTTTGGAGGATTTCGTTTCCTTCACATATAAACCCAGAACTGGGATTGCTTGGTCACGTATGAGTTCTATTTTTAATTTCTTTAGGAACCTCCATGCTGTTTTTCATAGTGGCTGTACCAGCTTACATTCCCATGAGCAGTGTACAAGGCTTCCCTTTTCTGCACATCCTTGCACAGCATTTGTTATTTCTTGCCTTTTGGTTATGGAGATCCTAACAAGTTTGCATTTCCCTAATGATGAGTGATGTCAAGAACCTTTTCGTGTAGATATCTGTTGGCCATTTGTATGTCTTTCAAAAAATGTCATTCAGGTCTTTTGCCCATTTTTTAATTGAGTTGAGTTTTTTTGCCATTGAGCTGTCTGAGTTCCTCACATAGTTTGGATATTAACCCCTTATTGGATATGCGGTTTGCCAATATTTTCTCCCAGTCCATTGGTTACTTTCTCATTTTGTTGATGGTTCCTTTTACTGTGAAGATGCTTTTTAGTTTTATACAGTTCCACTTGTTTATTTTGTTTTTGTTACTTTTGCTTTTGGTGTTGTCAAATCCCCCAAAAAAATCCTTGCCAAGACCAAATCAAGCTTACTCCCTATGTTTTCTTCTGGCAGATTTGCGGTTTCAGGTCTCACCTTTAAGTCTAACACATTTTGATTTGATTTTTGTGTAAGGTGTAAGATAAAGGTCCAGTTTCATTCTTCACTTGTGTTTTCCAACCATTTATTAAAGAGACTATCCTTTTTCCCATTGTATATTCTTGGCCCTTGGTTGAAAATTAATTGCTCATGTATGCATAGGCTTATTTCTGAGCTCTCTATTCTTTTCCATTGGTCTATTTGTCTGTTTTTATGTCAGTACCATATTGTTTGGATACCTGTAGCTTTATGATATAGTTTGAAATCAGGAAGTATGATGCCTTCAGCTTTGTTCTTTTTTCTCAAGATTGCTTTGGCTATTCAGAGTCTTTTGTGGTTCCATACGAATTTTAAGGTGGTTCTATTCCTGTGAAATATTCCATTGGAATTTTGATAGGGATTGCATTGAATCTGTAAATTGCTTGGGGTAGTAAGTGGCAGCCTCAAAAGTCAGAGTGCTAGATGCACGGCCCAAATCCTTTACCCTTCAGGAGGAAGCCAGGCGTTCCTTCCTGTTTGTACGGCACTTTTCCAGGAGTTGGGTATATGGTAAGAGTGTGTCTCAGCCTTTCCCACCCATTCCTATGTGGGTATTTTCTCAGTCACCCAATGTGTAGGAATCACTCAGCTTATTACTGGATTTCTCTCATAAGGAATTTATCTGTGCGTAGCTGTACATTCAATGTGTCCATGGGAAGAGAGAAATTCAAAAGCCCCCTATGTTGACATTTTGGTCAGGAGTGTCTTCAAGAGTTCTATGTCTAGAATATAAAACCCTTATCAGATTCATGATTTGCAAATATTTTCTCTCATCTGAATTGTCTTTTCACTTTTTTTTAATTTACAGTACTTTATTTCATATATCACCTAAAATGTCACATTTTAAGCTCCATTTTAGCCCTGTATTAATTTTTTTTCTTTTTCTTCAGATGTGTTTTTTTAGCAGCCTTATTGAGATATATGTAAATTACACATACTTGATGCATACAATTTTTTGAGTTTTGATATTTTCACTTTCTTGTTGGTGTCCTTTTAAGCACAAAAGCTTTTTGTTTTGATGAATTTCAATTTATCTGTATTTTTAGCTTGCTTGTGCTGTTACTATCATATCTAAGAAATCATTGCCAAATCCAAGGTCACAAAGATTTGGCCTCCAGGATTGGAAGGGGCATGGTAAAACTCTGTAGCTGCCCAGTAGAGACAGTAGGGAGAGATTGTCCTTACTTGGGACAAGGCAGATTTTTCTGTTGTTTCTCTGCAAAAGAAAAAAAAAAAAACATTAACATTTATTGACCATGACTTCCATGCCCATAACCTCATTTATCCAGCATAGACCTGTGAGTTGTGTTTTGGTGGGAAGAGACGAGGACTCCGAGTAGTAAAGTGACTAGTCAAGGTCACACAATCATTAAGTTGCTGTCTAACTGAGGCCTAAAGCTTTTGACCTTGCTTTTAAGGGTAAGGACTTCTCAGTCTTAATATCATCGCTCCAAGAGAGGAAGCACTCCACTGAAACCCCCATCAGGGCTCAAGGAATTCACCTTTGATCAGTGAAAGGTCCTCCTTTATGCCAGGCATTCTGGGAGGAAAGCAGAATCCAAGAGAGAGCTTTTCAACCCAAGGTCATCAGTTAGGGGCATCCAGGGGATTTATGTAGTAGGGTAGAAAAGTAGACATCTTTATTTTACTTTGATTTTGGCATTTCCTTTCATTTAGAATGTAGACAAAAACCCATAATAGTACTTGTAGTAGTACTTAGCAATACTTGTAACTTTGTCACCAGTAGAAATTGCAGGTTTTCATTTTCTATTACAGTTGCTACCGATACCGTGAAATACCATTTATGTTTCTGACTACTTCAAGATCATGGTAGTTAGTGGACCCACTGTTAGATCTTGTTATTTAATGCAGTAATAAAGAATTATATATAACGATATCCTAATTCCTTATTTAATGTGACTATAATTTATATGGTAGATTTCTTTTGTAACTCTTTATATTTTATTATTCTGAGAGGGATCCATAGCATCACCAGACCATCAAAGCAGTTCACCTCTTTGAGGATAAGTCCAAAGCAAGATCTCAAAGACCCTATTGACCTAATGTCAGAGAGGTTGCCATTATCTTTTCAATAGAATATAGATCAGAAACTGATCCTGTTTTCTTCCATTCTCTTTCC